CTAACTGTATGGGCTTTGATATACTATTTTGCACTTACTCCTGCGAACATAGTCTGTAATAAAAGCTGGCCATAGATGGTTCCTTTTTTTTTTTTCTTTCAGGCAGGGGCCTAATCACACACTGATATAAATTCGGCCAGTGCCTGTTGAACCAGATTACTTTTGATCCCTCTATAGCCAGCTTTGGTCTCTTATTTTATCTGTCCTTAGCAATTTGGTATGTAACACATTCTTTTTGTGCATGAAATATTGCAGAGACTTTGTTTTATCTATTCCTCTAACTGAATATGTAAATGTAGGTGTGTGCCTTTGTTTGCTTCCACGTTGTGTGGGAAACACAAGTCCAAGCCCATGATGCCTAATGGGATTTATAGTTTCACAAGAAGTGCAACAGACTGTAGCTACATGAGATGTTTACAGAGTCTTCAGTCACCAAAAGAGAACAATAAACACACAGAGCACTTCATCATCATCCACACCATTACACTCAGCTAGGTCTGTAAAACAGCAGTAGTTTATGAACAGAACAAAAAAAAATCTAAACAAACACACACACTGTTTCCCCGAAAATTAGACACTGTCTTATATTTTTTTTGGCTCAAAAAAAAAAAAAAAAAAAAAAAAAAAAAAAAAAAAACACACTAGGTCTTATTTTCGGGATAGGTCTTATTTTTTTTAAATGTCCACCCTATTCTACTTCATGCTCATTTTTTTTTACACACACACACACACACACACACACAGTAATACTCACATTGTCATCCAGCTGTGCAGACACGCGACAATGTTCAGGATCTGAATCGGCTTTTGGTACAATAATTGGACCCTTAAGTGAATTAAAACCATAAATACATAAGTGTCAGAATACATTTATGTTAAAAAAAAACATGTGGTCAGGATATGCTGACACTAAAGGCTGACTACTATGAATGCTGGCAAAACCGACCTGAGGAAGTCACGTGACCAGTGACGCAACATGTGGGTGGAGCCTAGTGACGGCACTTCCGGTATTGTGCAAACCAGGAAATGCGGTGAGAGGAACCATTTTTGCTATTGGAATTAAATGCCTTCACTGTTTTGCACTTTGTGAGTGGATTTTAATAGCTTAATAAAGGAAATATTTTTTATGGCGTTGCACTATGATTTGTTTTCTTTTCCCCTGAGCATTTACCATCTTGGTAAGAAGCTGAAATCCGGTCTTTTAAAGGGCCAGTAGCAAGGAAATAGCTACTAAGGGATAGCGGTGGACAAGCAAATGATATACCAACCTTTATATATTGCTTATAACCTATATGATATATGGGTCAAGGAAGAAGGTGAGTGCATGGCACACTCATTGGTGATGGGAAGCACTTTTGTATATGTTGGATGAAGTGAACACTTTACAACACTGTTGTGGAACACGGTGTACTTTGCTGTAATGTGAGCGCATATGTTTTGTGCACGCAACCATTAGCTTTAATATAAACGGTGTTGCACTACAATGTTTTTGTTTTTTATATACATGTTTTTGGAGTCGTGATTGAGTGAAGAAATTCTGGATTCGTCTTCACATGAAAGAATTCACTTCTGTAAAAACGCATTTGACCTATTATAATTTGTAGGTAAAACTTAAAGGTAAGCAGGGAGAGTATCTTGAGCACAAGCACGTCTTCTGGGAAGTGATTGTTAAACGCACTAATTTGGACATTCTGTGAGTTGATCTTTTATTGTAGTGTGGATTTATCTTGCATGGGATTACTGGAGGACTATTTTATTTCATTTATATGTCTGGATGAGGAGTTAGCGCACTATACATTCATGGTTTATATGCATTTTAAGTGAGAGTACACTTAGTGAGTGGGTGCAGCAATCTTCTGTTGTTTATTTTTATATAGGGTGTAGCAGCACATGAGTGTGAACCTTTTCACACTAAAATCATTATTAATGCACACGATCACAACATAATTTACACAATTCCTGCTAAATTGCTAGCAAAGCTTCATTCACATGTGGTGTACTAAAGTGTATGCCCATGGAGGGCCATGTTTACCCGCATGGGGATGCCCAGGTGTTCCATGCATCCATGTTCAGGCAGTCCCATTCATGTCAATTGGGATGCAGTGGTTGCACAGGCACAGCCACTGCTCCCAATCTGACATCCATGTGGGTGTGGGTGCACGACCCTGAACACAGACAGAGTGAGTTCAGGGATGTGCACCCAGACCCACATGGATGTCAATTTGGGAGCAACAGCTGTGTTTGTGCAGTTGCTACATCACAAATTACATAAATGGGACTGCCTGCATAGGGATACACAGAACACCTGTGCAGGCAAAAACATGGCCCTGCAGTGAGCAGGGCCTTACTATGACTTTATTTTATTTTTTTATTTATTTGGTTTTTTTTTATTTTTTCACACTTTTTTTTTTTCATTTAGAATTTTTTTTTCCTTTTGCACACTCGCTATATTCATTCAAGGAAAGGAAGGGGGCTGGTAAACACGTTTACCAGCTGCTCCCCCCTGTTCACCATCCTGATGACAGCTTCCTGTGTGCCGGATCAGAAGCTACAGCCGGTGGGAGGGGGAAAGAGGGAGAGCCGGCCAGCAGGTGACAGGTACTGGTGGATCGGTGGAGCCCCAAGGGATAGAAGGACCCCAGGGGACAGATTGGTGGATCTGTGGAGCCCCAAGGGATCAGTAGAGCCACAGAAGATAGATGGAGGAATCAGTGAGCAGGGGTCAGATTGAAAGGGGGGGGGGGATGTAATTATTTCAAAAAGCCTCTGTGGCTTCCCTGCAGCACCTGAAGCCAACCACTGCAGGGTAGCCACAGGGGATCAGTTCGTGTGTATGTGGGGGGGCATCACTTGCTAGCCGCTAATCAGGGGTTCGAGGTGTATGTGTGTGTAGAGATAGCGAAAAAAAAAAAAAAAAACCTTGGAAGTCGATTGGTTTCTATGCAGAGCTGCACCAGATTTTGACACTCTTCAGTTTTAGTGAATCAACCCCAATGTCCAGTAAAAACAAACATAGTACGTGCACACTGCTTTTAATGAAATGCATACATAAATACATAAAGATCTGTACCTTAAATAATGATTGCTTGAGATCTTGTCCCAGTCTTTCTGACATTTTGCCCACATTATCAGACATCTTATTCATTCCCTCTGCCAAGCTGTCAGGCAAAGATTTCACAGCATTGGAAACATTTCTCATTGAATTGCGCAGAGGGTTTACAAAGGTGTCCATCTATGAAACACAACAAGGTAAAGGTCAGTTTCAGCATCATGAGAAGCATAATGCAATCTAAGTTGAAATTGCTATATCCAATATTCAGAGCCATAAACCATACCTTGCGGGCAAAGTCCCCCTTTCCTTTGTTGTAAGGTTTGTTTTCAAGAAAATCTAATACAAAACCAGCAAGATTTGGGAAGGCTTTTAACAACTCTGGACTTAGCAGTATCTAAAATGAAGAAAGAAAATTAAATTTTGTTATTACACTAAAAATGGAAATCCATATGAATGTTTCTTTGTGTGAACAAAACCTTGAACCTCCACTACTCAATTACAAATAAGTGTTTTTACTGCTGTATGTGCATATACTTTAGAGATCACTGGGACAGCAAGTTAGGGGAATCGACCTACAAGGACACACACAGCATTAACAGCTTAAGCCTCCTTTTACATGGCCATTCCTATTCTGTTTAGACGGATGACTAGACGAATCAAAAAACGGACTGCGTTGTATCCCTATTGGTGGCCAGAAGTAGGCAGATATGTTTCTACTTACATCTGGGCCTGTTCAGGTTCTTTGGACTGAATGAAAAACGTTTGTGTCCAGATTTGCTTTTGCACACCTGACCAGATGTAGGCAGATTTAGGCAAATGCTCGTCTGCTTACATCCAGACCCCCTTAGGCATTACATGGTCCATTTAAACTTCATCACAAATTTTCACCAGAATAAATCTGGCTTGTTTCTGGATGTAATAGGAAAGTCTAATGGAAGGCTATAAGCTGGCAGCCAGAAAGATATTAAAAATTACACTGTTCAACAGGTAAAAGGTTTTGGCATAAAATTAGCTAATCTTACATAATTTTGGGGTGCTGAAAACAAAAATGACCCTAAAAAATGTTGATTGGCTCTAGTTTCCATGATATATTCACCCATCTAATGACGTAAGCCATTCAAAATTATGATGCAACTTCAGCTGCATATTGCACAATTGATACTGGTGACCAATAGAAAATTGCATGTATACTGAGATGATGCAATATTAGCCTTTAATTGCATCACTTCACTGCATAAAAGCTGCAGTATCTGTAGCTGATTGTAGTTCGACAGCGTCTTTACATTTCGTTTTATGCTTATATAGGCTACTCAGTAATGCCTCGAATTTGTGTGAATAAAGCAGATAATTTCTGCTATATCTGCGGTGAAATAACTTTTATCTCACAAAAAAGGAGGATAACCTAAGAAAGCCTACAACTTGTATTTTGGCTGCAAGATAGGAGACCAGGACAAGAGCTGGGCACCACATATATGCTGCAATTCTTGTGGGACGGCACTGGAGCAATGGTTGAATGGAAAAAAGGCATCTATGCCTTTCGCAGAGCCAACAGATCATGTTAGTAATTATTACTTTTGTATGGTGCCTCCGATTGTAAAAGGGCTAAATAAGAAGAAAAAGTTATCTGTGCACTATCCAAATATTCCATCGGCAATACGTCCAGTTCCTCATGGAGAGGGGCTACCAATTCCTAAAGCACCAGAATCCTTCATGGTTGAGTCAAGTGAGGAAGAACCTGAAGCGTGTAGTCACGTGCAGTTGTAAGAGATAGCCCTTTCCTCGAATACAAGAGAAAAGCCAAGAGAAGCAAAACCGACACAAACTGAAGACAAAACTAGTGAGAATCCAGTATTAAAATGATTCAACTTAGCTTATGGCTAAAAATCCTATGCAATATACCCCATTTAGGCTTTGTTATGTAGTCAATATCAAATTTGTGAAAGACATCTATCTATAAAATTGTGCATTATGTAGTCATTACGCCTATAGTAGAAAACGTTCCGTTTACAGAAAAACTAGAGCCAATTGACAAATTTCATTGTTATATTTGAACTCAGAATGTGAAATTCATTAAGAAATGGATCCGTTTGTTTCCAAAAAACTGGCAAAAAAATAAAAATTTGTTGAACAGTGTTATCAACCCACTTTAGGTCTACCCAAATGAGAAATAAAAACTGATGGTTCGTTGACGAACAGCATGAGCAATGAGAAAGGTACTTATTCTATCATGTCCTTTTGCAAGTAACACTTGAATTTAGTGACAGTGAAGTTTGCAAATTATTAAAAAAAAAAAAAAAAAAAACAAAAAAAAAAAAAACAAAAAAAAAAAAACACAGCTTCTCAAAATGTTACCAAAGCCATTTTTTTTTTCCAGCCACCAATAACAGCCTTCTGGCTTTTTTTTTTTCCAGCCATTTTTTTTCTCCAAATTATTCTAGCATTTCTCTTCAAGAGAAGTCGATCAGAGATGACCACACACTGAATAAAAATGCGTCTGGTCCTTGCTGAACCGACTGGATTTCAATCAGTGTATGAACAGCTTAATTTTTCAAATACACAGACATATACCTGTAAGTACGCATTCAGATCAGTTTTTCTTTTTTCTAAAAATTCTTTATCCATATTGTTGAATGTCTTTTTTCCTGGCAGCTTCAAGATACTGACAAGATTTTCAAACTGGAAAATGTAAATGAATCAGAGAATTAAAAATATGTTTTAAAAGTGAATAGAAATATAAACAATTGAATTTTGCCTTTTCACTTTTTTCACATTTATTACGCAATACAGAAAAGCTAACATGCTGTATCCAAGTAGGTTCCAGTTGTGTTCCACATTTATGAGTGAGACATCAAAATTAGCCATAGAGAGGGAACAGCCTACTCACCGAGGAGTTGTAGTGCAACGGTTTGATCCACTACAAAAAGATGCCTCATATTTAGAGTCCAGAGATGGTATTCTGGGAATACCACCTCTGATGGTTGAGGCTCTGGTCACCCAAAAGACAACCCTATTGTCACCCCACCTTGAAAAACTGCTAGGATTATGCAGCAAGAGTCTAATGTCTAGTGTGTCTAGATGAATGGGGTCTAGAGTCTGTGGGTACCTCCAAGCCCAAATTGCTAGGATTATACAGCAATAATCATGTCTAGTGTTTCTAGATGAATGGGGTCTAGAGTCTGGGCATCTCCAAGCCCAAATTTACATCCCAAACCCTCCACAATTCTATCGGTTTCGGCATAATCTGTTCTATATTTATAACTTTTACGCTATACTTGGCTTAGATGCAGACAACACAGTCTGGGAGCAAGGATAAAAGTGTGGAAAACAGCTTCAGACTGATTTTATCTCATTGTAGAAGAAATACTGAATTCAGTGTGTGGGAATAACCATTAAGCCTTGGGATCAGTAGTTTATGGACAGCTGGAAGTAGGATATATAATCACATTCCATCCGAGTTTATGTAACAATGGCCCCAGAGAAGGACATTTTGGCTCTTTCTTAAGACTGGACATGTAAATGACACTAATACTGCCTGAAACAAAATAGACTTGGGTAGTTGAACATGAAACTAAATTTATTCTTTCACACTGTGCCAGAAACACTTTTAATAGCCAAATGACATTTAAAGCAGAGCACGAGTCACTGCCTAGTGAAGCAATTAACAGGCACACAAAACCAAAGAGTGTGATATTTAAATATACGTATTTAGCTGCAAATCGCTTTGTTTAAAACTACATTTTTACATTTTTGTTAAAAAATGTTATTAAAACACAAGAAGAAAAAATTGTGAATGTATTTTATTTTTCAACAATATGAGACTTTGTGCCAGCTGGGGATTTAGCTGTGAGTTTTACAAGAACTGAATATAACAATATAAGCAAACTAATAAAAGGCATATTCCTGGTGGCACGCAGAATTGCCTACAGCTGTCTCCAGGCCAGACCTCACAGATCCATAAGCTTTCACCTAATGCCTATCCACTCTATTCCCAAACTGCGTTTTTCCTTCCTAAGCCCTGTGACCAATACAATAAAGGATGCAAGCCACTGTTCCACCCCAGCTCTTCTGCTACCCTCAACATTTGTCAGCACAGAAGTCAGACTTGTGTTACAAGATAAATAGGACATGACTGCACTACTGAGACTTGTGATACTCTATTGCCAAATCCCTAAAGTGATATTCTATAGCTAAATACAAAATAAGCAAAAAAAGTGAAAATACACAAATTTTAACCATGGGATCCCTATTCAACAAAATAAACTCAATTATACATTATTTGCATCAAGTACGTTTTTTTTTAACAAACATACGCATGGATGAACACAAAGGCATTCCAGAAAGCCAAAAGTGCCTCAGTATATAAACATTACTTAAATGCACTCTCTTAATAAATAGGTATCATATGGTAAAATTTCAGAATAATATGGTGGGTGATAGCATGAATCTTTCTGAATATGGTGACTTTTAATGACGTTAGGCTTACGCCGGAATAGAAACGTTTCCAGCTGGCCACCTCAGTAAGCCTTACATCTTTGGAATTCCCTTCTACTGCAAGCATATGGTAACTTTGCACCCATGAACATATTGCAGAATATGGCCCTAGCCTCTCCTGAGTAAATGAATACCAGTGACCAGTCATCAAAAATGTGACTTCCACACAGCTACTGATGCGCTCCATGTGTGCCGCCTCTCAGATCCTCCCTGCTCTGTACGTTACCTGTCACTGATCCTCCTGCTGTGCGGCTGCAATCTGCTCCCATGTGGCCTTTGATCCCTGCTGCTTAACACCCCACTGGTAACTGTAGTGGCAATGCGTTCTTGAAATTACACAAAGGGGAGAAGATTGTGGCTGCACAACAGGTGGATGGATCGAATGACAGGCAACCAGTGGGGCACAGCAGGAGGTGATTGACTGATTCAGTATGAAGTGTGGAGGAGGCTGTAAACATGTCCTTTCTTTCCTGAATGAAAGCCACAAGTGATCAGTACCGATCACTCTTGTGTTCATTCATAACTGAACAGAGTATTTCCTATTCATCAGTAAATGCTGGGTTGCAGAGAAGGACATTGAGGGCTCTGTGGCCTCAATCTCTTTCTCTATCCAAAATGGAAATATCAGAGGTCTGTTCAGACACCAATATTTCCCAAAAACCCCACTACTGTTGAATAAAATTCAAAAAATTAAAAAAAAAAAAATCAAGAACAAAAAAATAGAGTTCTTAGTGTTTAGGGCAACTCAATCATAAAAAAAAAAAAGAATAGAATCATTATCACTCAATTCTGCAAGTGGTTCTGATTTACTATCGCTGTTCTCTAGCTGGTCTAAAACCACTTTTGACCTAAAGGGACGCTTTTTGGACGCCATGGACTTTTCTAAGTTTCCAGGCAGAAAGAACAGAACAAATGCAGGCAGGGCACAGGACAAAGCACTAGGGACAAAATGTATGTGAAATGGGTTGAAACAGCAATGTTTTACTATGTAAAATTTGTTTGGAAAAAAATGAATTTTTTAAAATTTTCAAATTTCCCTCCGCCGCCAGCGCCTGTACGTCCCGACGTCACAGGGACCGGAACACAGAAGCCGGATGCCGGCATCGGCCGGAGGAATGGCCGGGGACGCTGCAGGGGACACATCGCGGGAGCAAAGGACAAGGTAAGCTCTGCAGGGACTCCCTATGCAGCGCCGCATGGTAAGCCCGAGTGTAGCTCGGGGTTACCACTTTTGGTACTGACATTTTACCCCGAGCTACACTTGGGAATACCGCCAGGGAGGTTAAGTTTCACAATCATTTCCGTAGTCTCAGCTCTCTGGTTAGTTATTCTCATATACCTCAAAATTCTTCTCTTGATTATACTGAATGTAGTGTTTGGAAACTACATTACCTAAACTGCAAAATCTTACCTGTAGTTACCTGTATATTATGAAGAAAGTGTGTATGCACCCCCGCACCTTACCTGTTCAGTGATCCGCATGTGGAAGTCATGAAAGTCACTGTACCGCCGATAGGTGTTCCAAGAATCTTCAATGCCATCTGAGCTCCGTCGCTGGACAGTGATGGTGTACAGTGCATAGGTTTTGCCATGTTCATTACAAACTCCTGCCACAGCATATGGGTCACAGTCAACATGAACTGGTAGTTTATGTAAGTACAGGAACAAAGGCATACACACAAAAGCAGAAACACACAGAAAAAGCAAAGGATAGAAAAGAAAACATGAAATGGAAGATGGAACGATAAAAGAATGAAATGGAAAAACTAGACAAAATTAAACTGAGTGAATAACATTGTAGAATCATTAGACACTTAAAAACTAAGAACATCACAGGGACTATGAGGCTGAATTTTCATAAGCACCAGTAACAATCAACTATAAAGTTCTAAAACCTAGCTACGTTAACAATACTTCTGAAGTGAAGTCACCTTTTGGTACTATGAAGGACCAGTCAATCTTTAAAGCAATACCTATATTCTTGTGCAGTCCCTGAATTTCCAGCCTATTCTTTACACTGAACCCGTCTCAGTCCAGTCGTGCCTTAAGCCCCACCACCTCTATTTAACAGTTCAATGCTATTGCCACCTTGGGCTCTGGCACTGGACTGTTGAATAATGGTCTTAGCTACAACCAGGATGTCAAACACAACCAAGTGCTTTGTGCAGAGGATTTGTTTTGAGCCAAGGAGGCACTATGCCTCGCTATAACTTAACCAAAAACTCTAAAACTAAGTCGTAAAGAAGAAATCCGGAAACAGCTGCACTCCTTGGTATCCTTATTAACATACAGCCAGTAAAAACATAAAATCCACTGCAGGGGGAACAGCCAAAAGTTAACGTGTTTTGTGCTAAGACAGCGCAAGTCAGGTTACGACTAAGCACTCTTTCCGGATTTCTTCTTTACACGGTGAGTGGCAAGACAAGCTGAGCAGGCACCCTTGGCACCTGAGACTGCAGGGAGAGCAGACATCAGAGTGACCCACCTGGAGCGCTACATGCAGATTTGTTCTAAAACAAAGTTGCTGTTAGGAATTACCCTGGAAGGCCCAATAAACATTTGTTTTCCTGCACTGTAGAGATTGCTTTTAATGCAAGAAAATGATTTTACTGGATCTAGTTCTCAAGTAGTACTACTTCATTTCAATGATCTTGTTTCTTATATGCACCAACATTTACAAATTCATTATAGTAGAAAATCATCTGTCAGAGTGGCAATGGAAAAAATATTTAGCAGTGTTCACTTATATTTCTAACTGCTAAACAGCATGAAAATTCAAGAAAACCCTCAAGAATGTGTTAGCTTTTCATCTGCTCGGACACTGAATGCATATTTCATGCCAAGCTGCTGCTATCATCTTTCATACAGTATGACTCCCCTACTCAAAGATTTATGGTTTAGGACAAAGATTCAGCACTGTCAGAAAATCTGATCTACTTTCCATAACTAGGATGATGACCATATTCCAAATTATTTGAAGGATATTTTTTTTTTGCATTATGTCAAGTATATTTTGAAGAGAAAAGGTTTATATATAAATCATATGATATAAAGATAGATAGATAGATAGATAGATAGATAGATAGATAGATAGTTCTGAAAGAACTGCAAGGGTGCTAATGCTAATGAGCACACTTGTAGCTCATCTTCAAGCCCTGCAGTTTTCAAACTGACAGCCTGACATTGCACCTCTGATCCACTGATCAGGGGGTGCAATACTTTCCAGGCTTCTGCAAGAAAAAATAATAAATGCACATTTTTATTTGCAAAAAAATATGTGCATTTATTAATATTTCTAAAAAAGTGAACTTATCCTTTAATTTGTAATAACACAGTGAGCTGAGCAAAAGAGACAGATTTGCACATATATGACATGGCTGATGTGATGTGATAATCTAGAAGCTATGATCGTGGAAAACAAATATGTCAAAACAAAGTAGATTTCTTACCAGTGTCAGAAATAAAAGAATGGATCTGTGTCACCTCTTCAGTGCTGACATTTGACAGGTCGTCAAGTGACTAAAAATTTTAGAAACAAAATAATTTTATATGAACAGCTACATTTTAAGCAAGTCTGCTTTGACTGGCCAAGAAATCTCTCTTTATGATATCAGAGTACATAACTGGCTACTGCTACTATTATTCATATAGTATAACAAGTGAAATGAGCCTAAACTTACTAGAGTCCCCCCCCCACTTTGGGGAGATTTTTGCTCATTTCTAGTATAGTTACCAGGACAGGAAGCAAGAGGAAATCTACCGGAATTACCAAAAATCACCTGACAGAGGTTCTAACCCTTCCGCATTCTGTCCAAAACTAGAAATAAAGAGGTTCAAATTGTGGGGCTGGTGTCCATTGTGTAGGGGATTTGAAGGACAGTGTTTTGCCTTATGACCACAGAAGGGACCTTTTTTCCAATTTCTTCTTTTACTCTTTTTTTTCTCCAACTCTATTAAATTATCGTAACATTAAACTTCATTCATGTATGCAGTGTGGTGACATGCTGTGCGAACCATGTTGAGTACAGAGACAACTTGTCCGCATTTTTACACAACAGATCGCATAGAAAACAACAGTTTTCTATTTGCCCTTGCATTGGGCCTGTGCTGATCTGCACAGATCATCTATCTCATCGGAGAAAGGGTGACTGGGCTGTCAGGCATTGATATGGTATTAGGGGAACCATTTTTTTTTTTTTCTATTTACAAAGCTGACCATCTGTCCAATATTTCTGCTAATGGACACAGCAGCTGAAATGCCAAGTAATATAAAACACACCCAGAAATACAAAAAACATTAAAGCCCAAGTCCAGGAAACTTGAAAATTCTCCTTGTAGTAGGTATGTGCCCACAGTGCAAAGATTAACTGCTTGTTTAATCTAGGGAAGAGTAAAATCATTACTACTTTACTGATTCTCTGCTCCCGCTGGCAGATGGCGTGCCTCCATGTTCCTATGGTAGACTGTCCCTTTGTGCGATCACATCCAATGCAGGGCTAAAGGACCCTGGATCAGTCTTGATGATGTCAGAACTATGGACCCCCAGAGTATGGGGAAGAAGATGATGTGAGGGCTGGTCTGGCAGACACCAGGAATCAGGTAATAAATCTACTTTTCCATGCCTCCTAGACCTAAAGGTCCATTCACACTGATCGCTTTACTGCGGGTTATATGTACGTTCATGTTTTCCTGGCACAGGGCTGAACAGGTATTGTGTGAATCCCTGTGCCAGCGTCCCATTCATTTCTACTGGGACACATAGTTGCATGCACACAGCCGCTGTGTCCTAATAGGACATGTGGGTGAATGTCTCTGAACACATACATGGTGAGTTTGGGGACCTGCACTCATCTGCATGTCATATTAGGACCGTGCAGCTTAATGTCCCAAAAGAAATTAATAAGACGCCGGTACACGGATGCATGCAACACCTGTGCATCCCCATGCCAGGAAAACACAGACCTGTACGGGTCTGCAGTAAAGCACTCTCTGTGAATACACTCTAAATGATCAGTTAACCCCTGCATTGCAGGCACAGCCCTACTGCAAGGGAGAATTTTCACGTTTCCTGGAGTTGGGCTTTAGAGCATTTTTAATACTTATGTTTTAAGTATGGTTTCATTTACAATTTTCTGCATATTTGTATGATGCTATTCCTTTACCAGTTCTAGTTTTAGGTTCTGTGGCCCTTTAAATGAGTTCTAAACAGAGCAACTGAGTGACCTCAGCAATGACCTTTCCCCCCAATTCACTGCCTGTTCTGTTTATTGTAACTGAGTGACACAGGGGAGCTGTATTATTTGAGTAGGCATTTACTCCAGACATGGAGCCAGGCCAGAAACAACTAATCTGCTAGTGTTCAAACACCTGCACAAGCACGGCAGTCCCAGAATAGCACTAAACGTTACAAACGAAGGGGAAAGTCATAGATTCCTTCATATGGACAGTATTGTTTCCCAGACCTCATACCAACACCAATGTTTCCTTCTCACTCGGTGAAATAACACAAGAATGCCTTTCACCCAGGCAACCGGACACTTTCCTTTACTAGAGAGGTCAGGTAACAACATCAGTAGGAACGGATATCATTTCCTATGGACCAAAGATCAATCACAGCACTAAAAATAGAGATTTAGGGCCCCATTTTTTTTTTTTTTTAATGGCACACCCGCCTCAAATGTAATTTCTCAGTTTTGAGTTGGTACCTTAAGCCAAGGACACTGGATGGAAGATGCCCACGTATCTAATCTACGTGAATGTTATGATGAGCACTGCAGAGGTGTGCATCTTTACAATGATGGCGAGTAGGGTACTGTAGATTGGTGCAATGATGGCAACTGGCGTACACATTGGTTCAGGGGCTGGATGTACAGTGGCAGAGAGTGGGGTGATGCACATCAATTCAGTGGCGGCAAGGGGGTAGTGTGTTAGTGCAGCAGTGAAGTGTGTGTGCAGTGTAGATATTTGTGGGTGCAGATGTGTTAGTGTTTAGTTACCTGCTTATGGTATGGCACTGGGTCTTGCAGAATTATACAGGTGCTGTGAGTGGGAACACTGCCTCCAGAGACGTGTGGCTGACAATGTTCTCTATGGCCATGTTGACAGAAAAGTCAACGGCGAAAGTCTACATTGTAAAGCTACTTCCAGATGCTAAGTGACTCTTAACCACAACTCCATATAAATGAACACCAGAGGGCACAAATGTGTGGTAATGCACAAAAGCACACAGGGATGGTGGATATAATCCAGATGTTTTAAGGGCAACACTACTGGCCAAATTGGTTGAGAAACATCAAACAACCAGGAAGCGGAGCGGGCTGTGGAATGCAGAGCAGGGACGTCAGCACCAGAAACCAGAAGGGGCGTGTCTACCTGTTTCTGAGCCACCCAGCTTTATCATGCTATGAAACGCGTAGCCGCTCCCCTTCAAATTCCCAGAGAAGGCTTGACAAAGGAGCTGGGTGGCTACAAAACCCATAGCTACACTCATTCTGGTTTCCAGCAAAGACTTAAAGGAGCTTGGTGGCTATGAAACGCATAGCTACAGCCATTCTGGTTTCCAGAGAAAGCTTGACAAAGGATCTGGGTGGCTACAAAACGCATAGCTACAGCCATTCTGGTTTCCAGAGAAGGCTTGACAAAGGATCTGGGTGGCTACAAAACGCATAGCTACAGCCATTCTGGTTTCCAGAGAAAGCTTGACAAAGGATCTGGGTGGCTACAAAACGCATAGCTACAGCCATTCTGGTTTCCAGAGAAGGCTTGACAAAGGATCTGGGTGGCTACAAAACCCATAACTACACTCATTCTGGTTTCCAGCAAAGACTTAAAGGAGATGGGTGGCTATGAAAGGCATAGCTACAGCTGTTCTGGTTTCCAGAGAAGGCTTGACAAAGGATCTGGGTGGCTACAAAATGCATAGCAGCACTCATTCTGGTTTCCACCAAAGTTTTGACAAAGGAGCTAGGTGGCTCCAAAACACATCCCTTCCGTCAAAGGTTTGACAAGCTAGCTAAGCGGCTCTGAAACATGTAGCAATTCCCACTTTCACTTTCTGGCCCTGACATTACTTCCGGTCGGCTCCGCTTTTTACAGCCCAGTCCGCTTCCTGCTTCTTTGATGTCTCAATATCAATCTGGCCAGCAGTGGTGCCCCTTCCAGTCCTGGACGATATCCACCATCCCTGTGCACAGAATTACCGATCATGGATGACCTATTTGTGGTGTGCACTCTCAATCTATCGCAATTCGAGTTGCCACTTTGTTTTTATCTACTAAAGGTTTTGTGCATTTCTATATTCAGAATAGAGCGCTCTGGTGCTCATTTATATATTTACAGAGATTCTTTCAATCTCAAAGAAGCTGCACTGAGTGTGTTAACCCTCTAAGAACATTATTACACGGTTTTGCTCTGCTTCCAGTAGAAGATTTAGTCAGAATTTAGTTACTTGTGTGCAATTATGCAATATTTCTATTAAATAACCACAACTCCCACTAGCACTTTGCATTGATCCATTGAGTGGAGGAGCAAGTCTTTATTTTTTTGCTTACAGCTTTAATTTAACAATTGGATTGGACAGATGTAACTAGCAAACGCTAGTTGGCAAATCAATGTTTCAACCAAACTAGCAAAATACAGTTCGGGAAACACATGACAAATGACAAAATACAGCATACTCGTATATGGTATTAACTGTAAAGAAGAGTAATTTATGTAAATAATAATGATGAACCTTATGTCAAAGTGATTTGTCACAAACATGAGTTCGTTCATTCATCATTGTACAAAGTAACGATGAGTAAAGTACTGAAACCCAAAGCAAGTTTCTGATTGGTTGTTACGTGACATTGTTCAGTGAAATAAAAGTGAAGGGTTGGAAGAATAACATACCAAATTTATGCTGCCTGTTGGTGATCCGTTGAAAGATTCTGTGAAGGAATGGGAAAAACAGATCAGAACACAGTGGAAGCTTTCTAAATAGTAACTGTAACTAAGGCTCACTCACTAGGAATCAAAGCGCATCAGTAGAAACACAACTTTAGAAGTAAAAGGACAACTGATGGCACACACCCAACACCCGAACCTCTATATCCCCAAGGCCTCCCATCAAAACATACCAAAGAAAATGTATGTGCACTGCAACAAGCAAAGAACAGGGCATTCATGGCTGAGAAAACGCCGAACCTAAGTCTGTGACATCACATCGTATTATATTATGTAACAGCCATTCTGCTCAATATCATCCTGGGGATTAAATTCTTTAATTCTCCTGATGAAAACATAATAATAATGAAAAACAAATATAGGAGGAGAAATTAGCTATTTCTGTGTTCATTCTTTTTGCAAAAAGATTGCTTGTAAAATCAAGAGTTTTTTTGTAATTGTATCTTTTAAAATGTCAAAACAGAGGTTGTAAGTCTATAAAAATATGTAAAAACAAAATGCAATTGACCTGTTGGGCTCTATAAACATTTGTTTTACAACAGACAGTAAGAAGGCAGAGGAAAACATGAAAAACCAGAGAGCTCAATGTTTTGGTTACGGCATCATGCACGCCCCTCCATGTTAGCCTATGTGTCCATGAAAAAAAAAACAAAACGGAAAAAACCCCAAACAAATAAAACCAAGAGATTCGTCAGAAAAAACATTCAAGGGTTAGGCGCTATCAGGATTTGATGGTTCATTAATTTCAATAGCAAGAATAAATTCTTATTCTGACCAGTGGAATAATTGAACGCCCAAACACTAAATACCCTAACAAATCATGGCTTTGGGCACATTTTACTCTGATTTTCTCCTTCCAAGAGGAAAAGTGCTCAAAAAGAGCTGGGCAAATGCCCAGTGTGCATGAGACCTAAAAGAATTTGCTTTTAATTTGTATATTTTCAATTTAACTGAAAACAAGGATTTTTTTTTTCATTCCAATGGCTGCAGCGCCGCCCAATCTCTATGGTCCCTTGAAAGTGCCCTCCCATACGACCCCTCCCTTTGCCATGTTTCCTGGGTTTTGCTATTCCATCTGAGGGCCTGGGCATACAAGTGTCGCTGGGTGGAGGTGAGGGAGACCAGCAAACATTTGTTCCCTGACCTCCCCTAGCCAGTAAGAATGTAGAAACAAAGAGGATTTCATCACTCCCAGTTTCTGCTATCACTTCACTTAGCTGCTGTGCCCCATTACCTTCAGTAAAATGCAAGGGATATACCAGAAGTCTAATAGATCCCTGATCTCTAAATAAAGAGAACCTGTCACTATATAAACCATCACATTATGAGCTATATAATAGCAATAGCAAATATAATAGCAATAAAGCAAAAATAGAAGCGAAAAAGTTAAATATTAAAAAGGCAACCCCCCCCCCCCCAACACACACCAAATATTCAGCCTCCACACGTATGTAAACATACTTGTCGAGGGTGCCTACTTACAAAACAGTCAACTGAACTACATATTGCTACACACCCCAGAGGGAGAGAGATAATTCTAGGGCCCTTTTTTCAGTGTAACTTTAAACTGATGACATGAATGAGCTTTTCCTATGGGAAATTTGAGTACCAAAATGTGTCACCGTTCCGCAGGCATGCACAATATTAAGGCTTGACATGTTGGGCATCTATTTACTCTATAATGGGTAATATATTGCATTTGTGTGCACTAAAATTAACTTTAGTGTACTTTTTACTGAATCCAAATAAACGGTTTATTTCCACCATGAGATTTCCACCATTTATTCTCTCCGATCTCTGCTTTTAGAAAATACATGTGGTTTGTGATTTTTAACTTCTCACCTGGCCTAAAATGTGCAATTTAAAGTGCGCAAAAAAAAAAAAAACAACCCTGGCAAAAATAGCCCTACCAGAAAAAGGGTTAATGGGCTGAGCTACACAAGAGATTCGAAATACACATGAATCATGAGAAATACTGCATCTAGGCTAGTGAATGTCATACCTATAGTCATTGCCCATTTTCTTGCCTTACGTGTAGAAAATTTCTAACTTTCAAAAGTAAGAACTCAAAGCTACACAAAACCTAATGGGAATGATATTTATACTACTTGTTTGGTTGTTTCTTCTCTAAATCAGCCAATCTGAATAACTTTGTGGTTGCCCACCATTTTTTAAAGTGGCTGTCTGGTATAATGTTAACATACAAGTAAGGTGTGTGTTTGAGCAAACTTTGAAAAACAAAAGTCCAGCAGGGGTCACTGGAATCCTGGCAAGATTAGCAGGTATTTTTTTTTTAGGTTGTAGGGAAAAAAAAAAAAAAAAAAAATACACTCACCTAGGTGAATACAGCATTGATCCAATGATGCATCTGTCCCCCACTGGTTCTGCAGTGAGAACTGAGCAAACACTACAATCACACAGTTCTCCCCCTCTGCTCTGAGCAAAGAGTGGTGACGGTCAGTCTCTGACTCTCTGAGCTGTCATAACCCCCCAGCACTCACTGGCAGGATGGGCTGTTGAGAGGGTGGGAGGGGCTGGTTCGCTGAGAGGTTGAGCCAGCTACCAGTCCAGGCTTCTGTGCAGATCCCGACAATATGGTCAGGATCTTTTCAGAGCCTAAACTGGCTCTATGATGTCAGCCCGCTGTTGGCTGAAAATGAGTCACAGTAGTGCAGAACGAACTACAATCCTGTGATTCATAAGAGAAGTACAACCAAATAAAAAGGTTTAGCTATATTTCTCCTTTAACTTCACTAACAGATGTTTGCACTGTGAACCCTGCATAAACTGTATGTAGCCTACATACCGGCAAGACTTTACCCTTCCCACTACTGGAACAAAACTGAATCAGGCTGAGCACTGCTCAGCCAATCACAGATAGCTTTGTATTTTCTGAACAAATTCAAGGCTTTTTTTTCTGATTGGCTGATTTTGAGAGACAGCATGATCAATTTGAGAAAGCCTTGTACACATTCGGAAAAGCAAAGCTTCCTTTGAATAGCTGACTGGCTAAGCAATGCGTTGCTCAGCTTAACTCGATTTTGTTTTGGGAGCAAGACAGAAAGTCCCTATAGTGTTGCCAGAACACAGTGCGGAATACTGCAAGACCCAACCAGGACAGGGGCTTTTGGAGAGGACTAGGGGCTAGCCTTTTACCCACCAATAAAGGCACATGGAGAGAGCAGATCATTCTCTAATTATGGACAACAATGTGATGAATGCTGAAAGCAAGGCTTGGATTAATTCTCTGAATAAAGATAATACAGCTTGCCTTCTGGAGTGGATGGAAAGGTGTAATATTAACTTTGTACAGCTTAATGGTCAGAGAAAATATGGGACCCTCTTGCAGACTGGGTCGGAGAAGCGCCTCAAATGGGACAGAAATATTTATTAACAATCTCCCTCAAGAAATCCATGAAGATAAAGGAATTCCACTTTTTCAGACTGTTGGAATATTGTATTAGGTTTGTCTAACGATGGACAGATTATACAAGTGAAGGCAAACACCTGAGAGACAGCATGTGTAATGGACTTTGCGTATTCAGGGTTTGGAGGTGCCAGACTGTCTGGTGTGTCTGGATGCTTGTCTGTTGATTAGCTTACTGTTTATTATATCACTGTTACATGTTAGTTGCTAGCTGTTGATTCGCTTGCTGTTAATTAGATCACTGTTAGCTGTTGACTGTATGGTTTACTGTTTGCAAGGTTTAGGATAACGTGAATAAGCACTTACCTAATCAGTGTAGGCTGCTTATCCCAATGCATAATATTTTATTGTTCGTGTGGGGACTGCCCTATTTCTGATGTGTATAAAAACCTGTACTTTTGCTTAATAAAGGAGTTCCAAATTTTGCACCTAAGCTAGTGTCGCCTAGTCTTGGGTGCAATGCCAAGCTATAATACCTTGGTCCTGTGTCCCAGCGGTGAGGAAGCAGTTCTCTGATGGAATCACCCAATCGGGGTGACAGGCGGTCCATCACACAGATTATATAGCACTCACAGCAAATGCCTTGGTTAGTGAAGGTAATAGTTTGTTTGGACCTGTTCGGTCCCAACCAACTATTTAAGTGACAGAAAGCTTTAAAGTAGAACTATGTCCTCCCATTAATAAATATGTGCTGCAGCACTTGTTTGTAAGTACATCAGCACTTACAAATCTCTTAGTTCATGTATGTCATTACCAGTACTGCTACTGAATTCAGAGCCGTGTTGTCACCCTCATGAATCCCATATGAGAATTCAGATGCACTTCGACAGTCTTACTGGGATGAACAAAAAAACTCCCAACTTTTCTTTATAGAGGTGCAACGTTCTAGTCGAAGGCTGCATTCACATGTGTTTTAAGCAGGGAGTGTAGTGCACTGCATTTTACATGCATACCAATCACCCCAACTGGAAATTGCATCAATGGAAGATTTCAAAATAATTAAATTGATCTATAAATCTGTATCTTCGTTATAAAGAACTGAATATATATTCTGCATATAAGACCTGTCAGTCAAATAAACCCCTATACAGACCTTGGTTCCCACAAGAGTCTAATAAAGTTTTATTTTGACAAAAATATATTAAAATTAAAAAAAAATGTGTGGAGTATGTTTTGCACTTCACTCACATCTTTATTATTTTTCACAAAATGATTGTTTTGAAAGGTGGTGTACAGATCTGACAGACTGGCCTATAGCCTACTACTTACAATCTCGTCTGTGACTATTCTCAACTATAGAAAAATATACTTCGTCTAAGAATTATTATAATGAAAGAACTACATTTCTATCAGAACCATCTTTTTCTTATAATATAAATCTCTCTATCTCTCTGTAGGTAAAACTACCTTTAGCCTAGAACTGGGTCCCTTGTCAAATAACTCCAAAGCAGGCTAAACTATGTCACACTATAATCAATAATTTCCTTTAAAAAAAACAAAATTATAATAAGGTGGACCACTAAAGCAAAGAGAAGGCCAGAAGAGTCCCATCTGGAT